TCACTCCAATCCCAGCTCTGGTCACCCTGGAATCAACGCCACTATTCATCTACTCAAGAACCGGTTTTGGTGGCCTACCCTTACCTCAGATACCATCACCCATATTCAAAACTGCACCGAATGTCAAACCTCAAAATCACCCCGAAAACTACCCTCTGGTCTCCTCTGTCCTCTACCTACACCGCAACGACCCTGGTCACACATAGCCATCGACTTCATCACAGACCTCCCGAATTCCCAGAACTACACCACCATCCTCACCATAGTAGACAGATTCTCCAAAGCATGCCGACTGGTTCCCCTCACCAAACTTCCCACCTCTCTGGAAACCGCCGAGATCCTATGTAATCAAGTCTTCCGTTTCTATGGTTTACCAGAGGACATTGTATCTGACCGTGGACCTCAATTCACATCTCGAGTCTGGACTGCATTCTTTAAGAACCTCAACGTGAACATCAGTCTCACCTCCGGGTACCATCCACAATCCAACGGACAAACCGAACGCCTCAATCAGGACATCATACGATTTCTACGCACTTACTGTCAGCAACACCAAGAAGACTGGAGTAGATATCTATTCTGGGCCGAATATGCTCAGAACTCCCTCATTAAACCATCAACCGGCATCACACCATTCAAGTGCATCCTCGGATTCCAACCACCTCTGTTTCCCTGGTCTGGTGAACCCACAGAACTCCCATCAGTCACGGAGTGGCTCCGCAAGAGTGAAGAGGTCTGGGATCAAGCTCATACTCACCTAAGGCATGCAGTACGGCGCCAAGAGCAACAGGCCAATCGTCGTCGTCGTCCAGCTCCCGAATATCAGGCGGGTCAGTGGGTATGGCTATCCACCAAGGATCTTCGACTCAGACTACCATGTCGCAAACTCAGTCCCAGGTATGTTGGTCCCTTCCAAATTTTAAGACAAATTTCACCTGTTTCATTTCGATTAGACCTGCCCGCTAACTACCGCATTTCTCCCACTTTTCATGTGTCTCTGTTGAAACCCGCTGGTGGTCCGAGGGGAGAAGCGGAGGAGGGGGCTACCTCCCAGAGCCCTCCTGCCTTTCTGGTCGACGGCGAGGAGGCGTACAAGGTGCACAAGTTGCTGGATTCCAGACGTCGGGGTAACATTCTCCAATATCTGGTCGATTGGGAGGGGTATGGTCCGGAGGAACAGTCCTGGGTCAACTCAAGGGATATCCTGGACCCCACTCTCACGGAAGAGTTTCATAGGACATATCCGGAAAAACCGGCCCCTCGACCCCGTGGGAGACCCCGACGACATTTGCCTCCTCGCGTCAGGAGCCGCTCGCAGGGGGGGGGCTCTGTTACTATGGAGGATTCCGCTCCGCCTCCTCTCCGCCACCAGAGGGAGCCTTCACCAGAGTATTGACCATTGGCTTTAAACTCAAATTCCCATCATGCCTCTTACCTGGGACTGATTGCGTCACACACCTGCACCGCATTAGCACACACACATAAAAGCCACTTCCACACACCACACCAGTGCGAAGTCTTGATTTGCCCCGGTGATCATTTCTGAGCGTTTATACCCCTGATTCTGATTTTCTGGTTTTTGGACTTTGGACTGTTTGACTCCCTCTCGATTGATATCTGCCTGGCCTGAACTCGGACTGTTTCCTGTTTACGATTATTGCTGCCTGCCCTGATCTCTGCCTGTATCTTGATTATCCCGCTGTCTTGCCTGCATTGCTCTGTCTGCCCGTCTTGATCCTGCCTGTACGACTCTGTCAAATAAAGCTGCAAATGGATTCCTCTGTTTCTTGTGAATCATTACAATATGGGCAGTTGCCCGGGCAACCTGAGCAACCCCCCTGTGCACGTCCCTGTTTAGTTGATTACTTACAATATCCCAAATGTTTCCAACTATTTGCAAATCGTGAGAAAATTGCAATTTTTAACCAAGGAAACAGGGCGTGTGAGCAGGGGTGAGGAGTCACCAGTCAATGACGTCATATCCGTGTTACCCCCGGTTTCCGCCAGGTTTGACCTCGTACTGCAACAGTAACCATGGCGACAGACGATGACAACTGGGTCGGTTATGCCCGTTATGCATGCTCAACAGTGTGAGCGTCCCTAGCAGGGTTTTATTCAAACATTATGGACCATGACAAACAGACTTTGAGACAAAAAGAGAACTAAAATGAAGATCAACATCTTTCGAGATGCCGAGAACTCCACGTCCGCGACTAACTTCGACTTGACAGAGACGCGAGTGTTGCATGTTCCTTGAGCAAACAGGTGAGCAAATTAATGTATATAAAACTATTCAATGTTATATAGTTCAACATGATGTTAATCTAATGTTAATCTCGCTGGTCTCATACAGCCAACAAACAACCTAACTAACATTTAACACACTCAAATGCAGTTTAGTGTGATAGTGAAACTGTTAGCGCAAGTGAAGCAGCGTTGTGTTACCTCAAGTTTAATTCCTCTAATAAACTGACCTGTGTGAGTAATTCAGCGTGTAGTTCGGTAGAATTAAATGTCCTTATTCCTTTAAATCTGCGTGACTCACGTTGTGTGTGGCGCTGGTACGTCTAGCAATTACGCCCTGCTTTACAAGTCATGTTAAAAACATTCACTCATCCATAAAAGATCCATCAGCTTGACGACAAGATAATTCCGCTTAATGCGGAATATCCGTCATTAATACGCCTTTGTTATTGTAAGAGGTTAGCGACCCCTGGTGGCGAAACAATCTTGCATATTGTCCCTTTAACAACCAAAACCCCATTGTAAGATATAAAGTCTAAGGATGCTCGATAACTTCCGCCGATCGTAGAGTCCAATGCAATACCGAGAATTTATGTTGAATTTTATACTCCATGGTTATACTAAAGAAACGTTAGTCACAAAAACAGATAAAACAGACACCCCTCGTTGTGTTTATGCTTCTTTTTAAAATTATATTCAATAAACATAACTATATATAAAATTACTTCTAAACGTATGTACGTTTCGTTTCAAAGACGGGAGGACAGTAAATTTTGAAGACTCTGCCATAATCCCGTTTTCCTCGGTTTTCCTCCGCTTTAATCTCCACAACCGGAAATGGACGAGCATCCTTGCGTCAAATGCGGAATTTATGCGTGCATACAGCCCATTGTAAGATATAAAGTCATATTTTGAGACAAAGTCTCCATTGCAAGAAATAAAGTAAAATACTCTAAGGCAGAAAATGGATTTCTATTATCTGATACCATAAACTGTATAATGGATTTACTTTGTAATGTAGACATTTTACAACAATTTATAAACACTCTTACTGATCGAAACATTGATGAGAGGCCTGAACACATACACACATATTTACGAGCCCTCAGGGTGATGCTGAGACCACTGATGGCTATCGTTTTGTTTTTCACAGCACATTCAGTACAATTCGAGCTTCCAGCTGGCAGCCTATTCCTGCCACAAATCCACCCGAGAGCTCCCAGATGAAGCCATGTGCCTCGAAGCATCTGTAACGTGGCCGAGTCGGGGGGAAAAAGATCCCGGTCCACTGCCACTGGCTGCTGCACCTGCAGGCTTCTCTCCGGGCCTCCAGTCTATGAGGATATTTAAGGAGCCTGCCTCCACGCGGAGGATAATGTTACTGAGACCCGAAGCCCCCCACTGAACATGACCTCGAGTTACATCATAACTGTTTCTCTGTAATGAGTCAGCAGAGCGAATTTTTGTTTTCCCGCTGCTCAGCGACCCTGAACATTTCCGAGACGGTGGATGTACTTGTGAAAGAGATATATTACAGGTCTGGTCATTTCCATAGCTGTTTCTTTCTTAATGTAATTTTCCTGCAAGCATGGGCGGAAATCGCGGGGGGGTCAGGACCCCCCCTATCTGAGGGTTGCCCCCCCCAAAAAAACCATTAAAATATGTGTATTGTAAATAATGTAATGATATAAAAATAATTAAGAAATAAAATAACACAAATGCAAACGGGGCAATTACGAAAAAAGCGTTCTAAACATTTTGAGACCCCCCTCCCTTGCTTCACAGTGCGTTGGTCCACCGCCTCCGTCCCTTTTACCTCAGACACATACATTCCGGTGGCGGGAGAGAAAAACATAGTGTTTGAATAGTTGTGGAACTCCAGTAAAGTAGGTCGCACACCAGACGAGAAGCGTAGCGGCGCGTCGCGCAGCGCCACGTCTTTAAAATTCGAACACATTATTCTCTATGAGTCTACACACACCGGCGGCGCCGTTCGGCGTCTGTCCGCGGTGCCCAGCAACGGCTCAGGACCGTGTTCCAAACCCTGCTGCGCCACAGAGCGCCATTTACATAGTTTTATATACAATTTAAATTATTTTTGTCTCAAATCGGTGCTGACGGATCCTGACTTCGCCCTATGCTGCAATATACATTTAGTTTTGCATTCATTTACAGAAATCAGCTGCTTGAATGACTTGCTGGTGTTATTGGATTTTTCAGGTGAGATTCTCAATTCATTCAGTTAACGGATGCTCTGAGGTAAAGTTTTCAGACCGCAGACTCAGCAACGATTGTATTTAATTGTACATAACAATAATAACAGACACTATCTTCATGTCATTAAACATTACAATATTGCTGGCCATACACTGATTAGAAAGTCCGGGTGCGCTGTGCATTTAGATTCTAACGCTTTCACTGTGATTTAGTTGGTTTATATCATTTAATATAGTTAAAGAATTAGTCAATGAATGAAATGAAATCGCTGCGCTGCGTGAGGAGAGTATGTAAACAGATTCGCCGCTGGCTTAAACCAGAAAGAAATTTTAAGAAGTATAATGAAATGGTCTCCATGCTACACTAATAATAGTAGTAAGGCTTTCCTCTGTATTTTTTTGCATGTATTATTGGTGTCCCCTTCAAAATTTGCTCTTGAGAATTGTTATGTTTATTGTCCCCCCCAACATTTTGATGAAATTTTCGCCCCTGCCTGCAAGAGATTGTTTAGGTTAAGAGAGTGGAAAAGAAATATATACCTAGTCCAAAGTGAGCCACTGGCTCCATCTCGCACAAGTACCCTGATCCACCGTCTATAATGCGTGTGTGAGGGCCGTTTCTCTTGGTGTAGACGATCACCTTTGCTCCACGAGCAAAAGCCCCAAACTGTGTGCGTGGAATCACACGGAGCCATTTATTAGTTGAGCCCTGCAATGAGACATCAACAAGTTAACTCTTAACAATCAACTCAGTGTCAAAACAACAAAGTTAAATCTTTCAGATGTTAAAATGAACCAAAACTAACTACTACTGTAACATAATGCATGCCTATGTGAAACAAATAGACCTGGGGGAAAAAGTACAAATTACATCTCTTAAAGTCACTATGAAGTCAAAATTGACAATTCTTGTTTTATGGAGTATTGCAGTATTTAGTATAAATGATGTATCTGAATAAAGATGAGGGCTTTTTTATAAAGTAACCTCCCCTCACTCTTGTAACAACATCTCTTCTCTTCTCTGATGAAGTGTTTACTGGCGTGAGGGAGGGACAACCTGTCACTTGCAGGAGATCAACTAACTATCACCAATCCAATCAATTCCCAATGGATAAAAAAATCAAGTCCAGCCCAACATTTTTCCTTATTTAAGAAGCCATATTACTCTGACATTCAAATGTCATAATAAGGAAGACAAATGCAACTTTTGTTTTATGCCGACTTTAAATACCTCAATTGTTATAGATATTTTGTCTGAGAAATAATTCCAAGATAATTTGCCAAAAGTCAACGATTTTAAAATGAACTCAAATAGTTCAATCACATTCTTTATATTACCTGATCTATGCTATCATCATTCATGTTATATTGCATCTATACTCTTTTATATAGTTTAGAAGACAAAGCTGAGAAAAGTTGAGAAAATCAAGTGTAAATGATTTCACTGATTTTCCGAATTAGAAGTCGACCCCCTACACCCTCAAATAGGGCACTATTTGAGGGGGCAGCCATTTGTAGTGGTGTCCGAAACCATTGTGAATGTTATAGAGTGCATTCGTTCTGTCCCACATTGCATCGCAATAATGAGTGTACAACCGATGTATGCTCAATAGGTATGCTCGTTTTCATTCACTCCTTCAAGTGAACTGTATTAGACAAACGTAGTGTGTAGTGAATGAGGGTATAGGGAGCAATTGCGGATTCAGCCATGTTCTCACCTGAGTGACTCGATACAATGAAATGGGTTGAGCTGCACTTTCCCCGTGTGTCACCAGAAGATCCAGCTGTCCATCTCCATCAAAATCAGTCACAGCTGCTCCTGAAATAACAGATCATTCTGCTCAGACACAGCTGTAACAAATGTTGTTCCAACTTTTCACTGTGGTTTTCCAATAATGATGATTCAGCTGTGAGTGGTGACTGCAAATGTCAGTAAATGACCAGGGTGCAACTCATGACTACAGTCATATACATAGAAGCCTGGATTTATTATGCCATCTAGTGGTAGAGAGAGGATATATTCAAGATTAAGGTTTGAAGAGACACTGAACCGTTCCATAACTCCACATTGTAGGTTTTTTTGTTCATCTAACACATGTAAAACTCATCATCTCTACATTACCTGAACTGAGTGTGCCTAATTAATATATACTACAATTCAAAAGCTTGGGGTCAGCATTTAATTGATTGAAATGCAGTAAAACACTGATAATCTTTGTCTAATTTGTGTCTAAAAAATGCATTTTTGTCTTAAAGGGGTCATGAACTGGTTTTTTAAATTGTGTTATATTGTTGTCTGAGGTCAACTTATGACGTTCGCTTGGTTTTTACATGAAAAAACATCAAAATGAATAAGTAATAGGCTATTTTCTACCCTAGTTTTGAGCCCAGCTCAAAAACGCTCGGTTTTTATGGGCGTCTTGCATTGAAGACTTGGAAGTAAATGCCAATTGCTGTGAGTGGATAACAGTTTTGCATATTATAATGAGTTTTACTCTCGATCCGGTTTGTCATCACGAGGTAGGCCAATGTAATTTAGCTTTGCGTTTAATGTACGAATTGGTGGGCGGGGCTAAACCAGCCGTGTTGAAGTAGGCGTTGATCTTCATAGTTCCCCACTTTGAAAAACGAGTCGTTTTCTGAGCCTGGTGTCAAAAAAAGCTTTTATTCGACTAACAAGGACGTTTTTATTTCTGAAACTTACATGATATTCGGATGACATGATGACCTCTTAGATGTCAAAAGCTCAAGGAAAATTAGATTTCTCAGTTCATCACACCTTTAACTAATTTTTGTCTTGTTGATGGGCTAACCAATTAAGGTTAATCTACGTCAACTGAACAGTAATAAACCTTAGCATGAACTGTTTCTTCAGCTTCACATGGTGACAAATCTCACATCTCTCATGTCCAAATGGATGATATGTGCATTTTTATGGTCCATGATGAAAAATAAGAAGCTGGACACTGGTGACTTTCAGAGTATTGAACTAAAGGCTGAAGAAATTGTTATAAGCTAATTTTGATTCACAAAGGGGGATGATTCACAGTGGATAATTGACAAGCGAGTGGGTGGTCCTTTGATACTGTCCAAAATGCATCAGGATGGATTAGAGTTTACACAAGCAATATGATGTGGTCATATCCAGTAAAACAAACACAAATGTGAATATATTTTTGACAGACCACGCTCCACAATTTTTTATTAAGAAGCGAGTGTTTTCAAACAAGCTTTGGGTAAATTACGTTATTTTAAGGGGAAAATCCAAAATTTACGATTTGTAAAACTCATGGAATGGATTTACAAAATAAACAGTCTTCAATTTTGATGGAATGAAAGAGCCAAACCCTTCATACCGGTTCCCCGTCCCTCTGGTTCCGCAGCCTCCCCGATGTTCAGCTCCTCGATCTGTGGGTCTCCGTGTTCTCTCCGAGAAACTCTGCCATGGTAGAGATTAATTACTTACTCACTTTGCCTTTTGGCTTGAGAGAGCTCCACACAATGGAACAGTCAAAGACAAATGTACCTTGTCAGCTGCATGTTATACAACATGTCTCAAAGGAGATATTCATTTACAGGCTCATGAAACCCTGGCAATATTGATTCAGTTAAAACATGTCTGGGGCTGGTAGTTCCTACATTGTATTTTGATGACTAATAATGCTAACGAAGAGGGTTCTTTATACAAAAAGGTTAAGTCATTGCTTTCTGAGAACTAACGTTTAGATTGTTTAAGTTTGGGATTAGGAACAAATTTCAAACAATGTTCTGTTTAATGCTACATCCAGTCTTCTCATTAGAAAGCACTCGCATAAAGAGGTCGGATTTAGGGGGAATTTCCCATCAGGTAAAGTTGTGGTTGGACTGAGTTGTATTTGTGGTCTGGTGGTTGTACAGTACTTTCTGGCTTGCCCTGCCGCCTAGGCTTACCAGCAAATCCCCAAAATAGAGAACGAGTTTCCATAGTTATTTCCTACCTTGCAATGCAAATGTTAACGAAATAACCTAAATAATGAAAATACTGTTTTGTGAGGTCCTGTTGATCTAGCAGGCAATTGTATAGATACATGAATAAATAAATTATTCTAAAAACACAAATGATCCCTGGTAGGTTATACTTATTATTTATTTATTTATTTATTTATTTATTTTCAAAAATATTACTGATATCTTTTATGAACAATAAATAAATAAATAAATAAAAGACTAATTATAATGTTTTATCTTTTTTGACCAACAGTATTGTTAATGTTAACTAAAAATCGTTTTTATTAATTGGAATTAAGGATAAAATAAAATAGAATATAAATTAAGAGAAAATAATCAATTAGCCCTGACAACTAATTAAAATAAAACAAATAATTTAAAATATAATAAGTAGTAAAATTAATAAAACTAGAACCGAAATAAAAAGAGCTAAATAAAAGTACAAAACAAAATCTCAAAAAGTTCAAATTAAAATATAACATTAAAAGTCAATTCAAAACATTAATAAATACTGTAATAATTTATAATTAATACTAATATACCACTGATGACAAGATGTAAATTTCCAAAAACAACAAAAATGTATTATTCTAAATTCCTTATTAGATTTCAGAACTATAAAGGAGGGATGTTTGTAGTGAATAACGACCAAAATGTTCTGTCTGTCCCTCAGACAAAGCTATTGAAAGGCTTCTGAAGACTTGAAATATAGCACAAGAAATGTAAGGCATTTTATTGGCATTTTTGGAGCTTGACAATATTAATCAACTTACACTGTATAGAAACACTCTTAATCTATATTCTGCTAAACATCTCATTATGAGTTCTGTCATCTAAGATCTAGCCCATGCATGCCAGAATAGTATTTTTGTACATACCTAAAGAGTCTGTTGGCTGATGGTCCTCTGTAGGCAATGTTGTTGAAAAAAACCTCCAGTTCATTGTCATTATCAAAGTCAGCTACGATGACGGTGCGGACAGGAGATGGCATGGAAAACTTCTGTGTTGCAATGTCCTGTTACAAAGATAAAAAAAAAAGTTTGAAATCACACTGTTTATATTCTTTACACTTATGATCAATCAACCAAATAATGTCTCACTTATAATGTACAGTATCTGTCTCTGCAGATTAAACTGGGGCAAGAGTGTGTGTTTTTTTCCCCCCTTCTCTGACAGGAGATTGTCAGCTTTAATATTTGGAGATTCAGATGTATGATGATGACATAAAGATCTAAGCTGCAGGTAAATCACAGTCTAAAAACTTCAGGGAGTGGGAGCAGAAAAAAAAGTAACTGCTATCGTCGCGCTTCAATAGTGCAGCAACGAGTCATGGAAGAGTTATTGAGCATGCCGGCACTCTCTCAAGTATTAACCCCAATTTTAATTATAGGGCTCATAAAACCTGCAGGTGAAAGCCCATGAAGTGACCTTCTGCTGTCTGGTTGAAGGAGAGGTGATGGCCATCTCTGGACAGGACCCAGAAGAGGAGGTACAGGTGAGCATGAGAAAATACTGATCATCCCATGGATGGATAGATGGGCTGGTGGATGGACGGAGAGATAGAATGACAGACAGAACGACACGATAAATAGATAGATAGATAGATAGATAGATAGATAGATAGATAGATAGATAGATAGATAGATAGATAGATAGATAGATAGATAGATAGATAGATAGATAGATAGATAGATAGATAGATAGATAGATAGATAGATAGATAGATAGATAGATTTGTTCACCCTTATTGTAAATAAAACATGCACTTACACTAGCTGGTGGCCTTGTTCAGCCAAAGTTTAATTACCACATGGAATAATAGAGCATCTTAATCACAATGCAATTATACATGGCAAAGGTCGCAATACCCTACGCTGATGCACAATCCTTCTGTAAGCTCTCTCATGAGACATTAACCCAACAATTGACCTCCATAAAACAGCTTCCTGCTGACATTTATCCCTGTGCTAAAGAAGCCAATCACTGGCGCTATCACTGGGATCAAACTAAAGCTAAGGAAGGCTTACACACACAACAGTCCAGTCAAACACAATTATCTGACACACTCTGGTGAAACAGAGCTCAATGGCTTACTATTGCTGGAAAATAGATACAATTTTATGTTCATTCCTTTTTGTGTGTTATTTTTTAAAGAAAAAGCTTGCTTACATAGCCTAATTAAACCATTAGTACAAGATTAGCAGACTTCCAAATGGATTGGCCTCATAGGACAAATGTTTCTCTGAGACAAAAATAAGATTAAAGAGAGCAGATTGAAATTCTAAAGTCAAAAGTCTTTTCTGCTCAACAAGGCTGCATTTATTTGAACAATAAAATGAAATTAAAACTTAAAATAACATTTTTTTTTAATATCTTTATTTTATATATTTTTTTAACCATTATTTTTTATTGGTTTATTTAGATTTTAGTAAAACACAAAAGAACAGAACAAACAGGTCACTAGGGGTGTAACATACAATTATGTTATACACAAACTTACCTATAATTAACATTATGTTAGTATCAAATCAGGGTTCCTGACTGACAAATGGAAATCCCCAATCACATCTGACTCTTAGAAAAAAAAAAAGGCAAAAAGAATTGGAGAGTGGTAACACAGTCTCATCCAAAGAAGTCATATAACTGACGTCTTGGGACGTCTTTTGACCATACGTCAACATCCGCCTTTTTTAGGGTACCCTTAAACGTCGGTTACATGACGATCCCGGGCTGTCATACAACTGACGCTTTACCTTTAACGTCGGTAAGGTGACGGTAGGTTTAGGTCTGGGGTAGGGTTAGGATCCGATAACGTCATCTAACCGACGTCTAAGGTTACCCTAAAAAGGCGGATGTTGACGTATGGTCACAAGACGGTTATATGACGTCTTGGGATGAGACTGCACTGAGAGTGGAATTGATATGCCAAGCTCCCGTTGAGTCGTGCCCAGAATGATAGTCCTCTATGCCTACAGGATGGAAGGGACACGGCTTACCATAGAGGCGGCCGTAGCTGCTTTTCCTTTACATTGTTATTTCACAGGAAGATAGCTTCGATTCAAAATTCTATTTTTTCAGCCCTACTACAGTCAGAGACAGCACAGGGAAAGACACAGATTTACCGACAGGGAAGGATTCTGCTGTGGAAGAATACACATAGGGATTACCCAGGGGGAAATCACAACACATGAGGCATCTAGCCCAGTACAGGTACTCGAGTACTGGGCCTGGCGTCGGACTACTCTGCCACATCTGACTGCCGAAGGATGCTCGGAGGAACTCAATTCAGGATTCAGCAAGTAAGGGACTTACCTGGAGAGCCAAGAAGGTGCTCATATCCCCACCCACAGAGGGGAATGGGGCTGCAAGCGAAACACCAAGCTAGCAACACACGGGAAGAAAATGGCTCCACATGGAGATTGTAGAATCTCGCTAAGTCATTAGGAGCTTCTGAAGCTCTGCATGTGTTCTTTGTAAATGGGACACAGCAATTCCAGGACTCGGTCCGCCTCCTCGGGGGTAAGCGTTTGCAAGTTCACCACCTGGTCCCGGAAGGGAGTGGTAGGATCTTTGGCCACGTATCTAGGCCGGGGTCTCAGATGTGAGAAGAAGCTGACCCGAGCTCAAGGCAGGATTCGCTGACTAAAATTGTCTGCTGGTCCCCCACCCTCTTAATGGAAGTGAGTGCAGTCAGGAGCACTGTCTTTAGAGACACGATTTTAAATGACTCAAGTGGCTCAAGTCATGGATGTCTCTGCTGCATGGAGGAGCTCTCTGCTGACCAGAAAGGACCACATAGAGAACCCAGGAGTGGATAAGGCACAGCCTGGAATGATTTAACATCTCAGGAACCTGACAACCAGGTAGTACCTCCCTATGGCGACTTACCATCAACTGCAATGTGATGTGCTGCAATGGCAGCAACATAAACCATCAAGTTGGAGGGGACAGCCTCTGTGCCAACGCTTCTTCCAAGAAGGAAAGCACAGAACCGATCGGGCATCTTCGGGGTCTTCCTGATGAGAAATTGGGAATAGCACCTCTCAGCAAATAGACTCCATTTCAAAACGTAAGCTCGTCTGGCTTAAGTGTCTTCTACCACTGCTGGTGGTAGGCCACTTACTGTAACTCTTCCGTGTCCCGCCCAGAAGCCACAAGTGGATGTAAATTCTTCGTCCGGAATGTAAATGTTGCGGAGTGACCTGATCCTCTGCTGACTCCAGAGGAGGAGATGGCGGGTAAGTTGGGACATGTGGCGTAAGCGTACGGCGCCATTTGAATTAATTTAATGCATCCTTTCTGAGAGAAAGTATTCCTTTCTTTCAAAAATAATACTGACTCCAAACGTTTGAACAGAATAGTATTCAAAAAATGAATAAATGAACAGACATTTATCACAACATTCAGACTTGATTCAGTTGAGCTCTCAGCATATTATAAAACTTCCTGTGTGAGTCTCAGGGAAAAAAGAGGGTCTTCGATCTTACTGTGACTAATTACAATCACTGTGCTTTACCAGCTGAAGAGAAGGCCAGGTTGCTGCGCAAACAATAGAACAATGATTGGAGAATAATTGAATACTCTATTCAGGCAGCAGATGTTATTATTTTATCCTCTGTATTCCGTCATAAGGATTCAATTATGCAGCTTAAAATGTAGGGATCATGTTTTGTTCTGCATTACAAAGATGAAACCATTCAGATATATTTACATCTAATAAAAACAAAACTAGATTTGCATTTCCTGAAGGAAATACCGGTGCTTGAAGAGCAGCTAAAGAACAAAATTAACGTCTCAGGCCTCGAAAGCACTGTAATAAACTTTTAGTGTCCTCCATTATAGCTAAAGGCATAAGAAAATTTAAATTTTAAAATCTGCACCTTAAACCTTTGCTTGCGATTGTTGCTGAGCTGTAGAAACAGACGATGAGGCCCATTCCAGTTTCCATAGACGATGTCTGTCTTCCCATCTCGATTAAAATCGGCTAACGCCACTCCACGGCCATGCTGCATTGGGTCATCCACCCCTGCGACAACAAAAAAGCTAATATTTCATTTCATATTTGCTGTAAAAGGTTAACAAATTCCCCATCAAAACAAAATCATCGAGAAAAAGAAAAGTGACAGCTTTTGCTTACCCGATTGTGCCGCAACTTCTGTAAAAGTACCGTCTCCGTTGTTGCGAAACAGGAAGTTAGGACTGTACTCATTGTCACAGAATATATCAGGTAAGGTTTGACTGAGGATCGGACCGACCACGACCCCCCGTCCCCCTATAACACAAAGCAGAGACGGCCATCATCACCAAAAGCACAGCAGAAATCATTAGTGGCTTTCCAGCTCATTTCCCCAGCCCCTTGCTCACTGCTGCTTTTGCTGACACAGACTCTGGCTGCCCATAATCACATTACAAGGAGTGTGAACATGTGCATTTAAAAAGCTTTCCTTCAACACATCTTACCCGGCGATCACTATTCTACAGCTTTGACCTCTAGTTGAATTACAGCAGCAAGTCAATTTTATTTGTATAGCCCTTTTCACAATGCACAATGTCTCAAAAAAGCTTTAAAGAAAATCATGCCTTCATGTCAGCTCTACCAAGCTTTTCTTTATGATAAATATGAGCATAATATTAACAGGTTTAATGGCTCTTACTCTCAAATCTTTTGAATAACATTGGAGAAGAAATTTGGGAGTTCATTTAATTTTTTAGCAAAAATAAAAAAATAGTTTAAAATATTTTAAATAAACATCTAAAAATATTTTAATATTAGGTACTGATTAAGTACTTTGTTGTAGATGGTTAGAAAATAAAATATGAAATAAAATATATTGCGGTTGAAACCATACCATGTTTTTGTGTCAATTAAACATGATATGTGAATAGTGTAAATATGTAAAAAAAAAAAAAATGAAATATGTGAATAAAATAAAATGCATTTAAAAAGTAATTTAGTTAACTTAATGAATAATTTATAACATACTATGGTTAAAACCATTGAATTTTTGTTTGTGATAATATGTGAATAGGCCTTGGAATAAAATGTGTAAAAAAGAAAATATATTAACATATTAAACATGTTAAATATGTAAATAAAATAAAACAAATAAAATGCATTTATAATATAAATGAAATAAAACATATTATAATATGCGACATATGATAACGTAATATGTGAAGCTTGCCGATGTTTTGACAGAATCCTCCATGCTGAGGTAAGAATATCTTCATTTTGCTGCTACAGTGACATTTTACTCTCGCTTATACAAGAGTGCTTCCCCCGAAACAGCTCTAAACAGTCGTCCGAAGCCCTGCTCTCCCCATCCAGATTAATGGAATGGTTGCTTCATTGAGTAAGTCAGAGCTGAAATACGGCTCACTTGTCCTTATGCCTTCACATGACTTTCAGTGCAGTAAACAGCTGAGTGGGCCAAAACTTCCATCTCTTTATTCAGTGCTGCCTTCCAGGGCCCTGTTCTCTCTATTACTGGCTGCTTTAGCTGATAAACACTGTCTATAACTCAGTGATTCAAAGCTGATATGAGCACTGAGGTCTGCTGTAAATCAGCCACAAGGCAAAAAACCTGGATCCTACAGCTCATGGCCTTTAAAGACTCCTGGGTAATATATTCACTGTCTGACATCATCATACACTTACACACTCCTGCTCATGCATTCATAAATAAGCGGACATGCACCTGTGAACTTGTTGACTCCGGCCTGTTCGGCCACGTTTGATAGCGCAATGATTCCCTTGGACAGGTCACTTGAACTTTCATCCATTTCAATCAGAGCATGAGGACCTACAGTCCCGCTGGCGTAATTGGCAATGTAGATGGAATAACGACCTGTTCCCTTAAAAAAAAGAAGACAAAAGCATTAAGTGTACACAGATAACTGGGGGGGGGGGGGGTAACTAAGGAGTTCCCTTTCGAGGGTCATTACGTTCCTTACAACACTCGGGGAATGCCCCCAGCATAGCGTGTATGAAGCGTGAATGAAACTTTTCCAATCCTGATTGGCGTTACGTCATGACGTCACATGAACATTACGCCAGCATACAACAGAGTTTAGTTAGCTTTTTGCTCTTCAGCAAGTGCTCTATATCAAACTGTCTGTCGTATTTGGTGTTGTTTGACCCGTGAGAACTTTAAATAAAGATTCTTTGGCTGGGACCTCACGTTTGCCGAGGCAGCGCATAGATTTAAGGTCTGCATTGCAAAACAGAATGTAGTTGCTCGGATTTCGCGTTTGCCCCACAGCACCTGAGGGGGCTGGCAGTGTTCATTGAGAAATTTCTTGACGCGCACAGCCGTGCGTTTTCGGGTGTTTCAGCCCCATTCCTGTTGACTTTCTTCTCGAGAGGTGAAAGCCAAATATATTGTCAACGATTTGAATCTCGCGTTTGCCGAGGCAGCGCGTAGATTACGGGTGTGGTGAGCAGGACGGCCGAGGGACGTGACAGAAAGTCGTGAGGCCGTTGTTGCGATTGCTAATGAGCAGCACCTGCGAAGCACACCGGTCTCGCATCTCTCACGAAGGAGCGGAGGCATAAAGGGGGAGCGACGGAGTGGATGATCGAGAGGGGAACAGGCCTGTTTTTGTTTGTATTTTATATTTTATTTGGTAAGCCAGTAGTCGTCCGCGAGGGGCTGCTGGCCGGTATTTATGTTTTATTTTCGGTAGCCAGCAGTCGTCCGTGAGGGGTTTATTTTGTTTAAATAAAGTTTTATTTTTGATTATTATCCGGTTCCTGCCTCCTTCTTCCCTGAACCTTGTTACAACGGGTCTGCAATAAAACGGACACACGCAAAATATCTTGTCGTGCACTTTCAGGTGTTTCAGCCTCACACCTGTTGACTTTTTTCTCGAGGGATGAAAGCTAAATATTGTAACGGCTTGAGTCGCATTTGCCGAGGCAGTGTGTAGGTTATGAGACCGTATAAATGAATATTAAAACAGTATTGTCTGATGATTATGGCTACATTTAATCCTAAGGAATTTACATTATGGAATAATACTATTTGACTTTGAGATATGTTCTGACTTTAAGAAGTTAGATTTAAATTCAGCCTACCATTTAGACCATGTTTCACTTATTCAGTGTTTATAGCGTCACCGGAAAAACAACTTTTCTGTCTGTGGTCTGTGGCAGGACCGGCACCATTCTTGGCATATAAATTGCCTGGAAATGCTGGTGGTCTTTAAGGCTCTGAGGAGCTTCCTCCCTTCCTCAGGGCTCACCACATTCTGATATGGTCAGAAAATGTGTCGGTGGTCTCCTACTTGAATCATCAGGTGGGTCTTGAGATTGCGCCCTCTATCCAGATTGGTGCATCAGATCGTCCTGTGGTCCCAGGGGAAACTATTATCTCTCAGAGCAATGCACGTCCCAGGGGACCAGAATCAGAGAGCAGACATCCGGTCGAGGCAGGGGCTGAGGTCCAGGGAATGGAGACTTCACACCGAGGTGGTAAAGTCGATATACGAGAGGTTAGGCCCAGTGGAAGTGGATTTGTTTGCATCTCGAGGGACAATCCAGCCCAACTGGAATTTGGATGCCATGGTACAGACGTGGCAGAGGCTCCTAGGAGTTCAGGGGAGGGTCCGTTGAGACTGAATCAGCCTATTTCTAGTAACCCCGTACTGACCTGCCCGAGTATGGTTTCAGACATTATAGCACTGCTGGCAGGCCTCTGAGGATGCTTCCGTGGGCCAGGGGCTCAATATTCACCCTCGACCAGACCTGTGGAAACTTTGGGTCTGGCCTCTGAGGGGGTTCAGTACCTAGAGGCTGGCCTGTCGGCTGGAGTGGTTGAGACAATACTCAGTTTGGGAGCTCCTTCCATGAGGAGATTGTACGGCCTAAAGTGGAAAGTGGAATGTGATCCAGTTAACTGCCTGGTTGGCTTCATTGCTGAAGCTCCTCCAGGATCACTTCTCGGCTGGTCTTACCCTGTCCACACTCGAGGTGTATGTGGCCGCCATTACGGCTTCCCACGCTCCTCTGATGGGCCTCTGGGGAGACATCAGCTGGTCGTACGTTTCCTCTGTGGGGCTTGGAGACCTGCGGCTCGTACCAGAGTTCCCTCCCGGGACCTGGCAGTGGTTCCATTACTTCTCTGAGGAGAGTAGGAGATCTTCAGGCGCCCTCTATATCTCACGGGTTCCTGGAGTTTGCTCCAAGTGACATTAAGGTTATCTTGCATCCCAGGCTCGGCTATGTGCCTAAAGTGCCATCTAATGTGTCACGGCCTATGGTTCTGAAGGCTTTTCATCCTCCACCTCACTTGACAGCGGATGAAGAAAGACTTTGTTTGCTCTGCCCTGTCAAAGCTCTCAAGATTTATGTTCAGAGGTCTTCTTTATGGGGGAAGTCATACCAGATGCTGGTCGCCCAAGAAGGGGCTTCCCACATCCAAACAGACCATTAGTAAGGCTATCTCGCTAACAGGTGTGCAGCTTGCCTTCACCTTTGGCCATGAGGGCTCATTCAGCCAGAGGCATGGCATCCTCTACAGCCCTCTTTTCAGGGGCCCCGATACAAGAAGTGTGTGATCCAGCAGAATGGGCCACCCCTCACACTTTCATCAGATTCTATAGGCATAAGGGTACTCGTTCCCCAAAGTGTCGTACCGACGCAGTTCGAGTTTCCGTGGAAGGAAACGTCTTGGGTAACCCTAACTGTGACAATTGTCCCCTGAGAAGGGAACAAGACACTGCGTGTAGACCATCGAAGGTCATCAGGTCAGGTCGTCTATGAGTTATTTAGCACCTGGTTCTCCACAAACTTGAGGTGCGATAAGCGGGAAAGGGGCGACGCCCCTTTTGGCCGCCCCCCGTATGTGGTCACGGACGGCCTTCCTCGTCGGAACCCGGAGGGGCCGGCTATCCGGGGCGAAACAAAGTCCCACAGCGCTGCGGTATTGTTCCTTCCAGACGGGATTCTTCCTTAGAGGTGTTTAGTCATAATCCCGCGGATGGTAGCTTCGCACAAGTGGCCCCTCAGCCAAGAACAGGCACCAAATGTCTGAACCTGCGGTTCCTCTCGTACTGAGCAGGATTACTATTGCAATGACACAGACATCAGTAGGGTAAAACTAACCTGTCTCACAATGGTCTAATGCCTTCGTTAGAAGGGAACATGGCCCTTTGCCACACCTTCCCCTGCCTGGGAGTGAATTGCTTAATCGCAAAAGCTAACTCTGTTGTCTGCTATGTATGCCGTCACATGTTACATCATGACATAATGCCAATCAGGATTGGAATAGTTAAATTCATGCTTCAGACGTGCTACGCTGGGGGCATTCCCCAAAGTGTCGACGCAGTGTCTCATTCATTTCTCAGGGAACAAGGGTCAAAATTGTAACCGAGACGATTTCATGAAAAATGCAATACATTCAACTTTTTGAAAATTTCTTACAATTGTACATTATGCTAACACAATATACAAATGTTTCGGGGCTGAGTTCTGGCACTGTGGACTTAACTCTTTCCCGCCATTGATGGACATTTCCATCATGTGTAAGAAAACGCCTTTGAAGGAATCATTCCATGTTTTCATTGTTATATGGTAGGGGGTGCTATTATGTAACTTCAGAAAGAATACTGAATTGCCTTATCTAAACACATGCGAAGAAGCAGAAACGAGCGAAATCATGTGTAATCATATGCATATAATAACTTGATCATCAACAATAAACAGCTTATAAATCAAAACTGCCTAATGTTACTGAATGAAATGTCGAACCCATAAAGAGGAAACGACTCTGACAATTTGGGGGTGTTAAATCCTTATATCATTCGTTTAGTCGTTTTATGATTTAATATTGAAAGTAGAAAAAATTTATAAAAAAAAAAAACAACATAATTTTTTCCAAAAAAAAAACGAAAGAAGATTTCAGCTTGATCTTTCTTTTTTCGTTCTGAGGTAAAAATATATAAACAGCTTGAATATTAGATTTAAACACATGGGCGGTAATGAAATGCCCCTTTCCTCTGATTTGTCAGCCGATGATCAAATTGTTCCGTCATCAGTTCTTCCTCAGTTCTGCTCACTAGAATAACTGTCCTCTGCTGCAGTTGTACGGATTCTGAACTTATTTATTGCAACTACATTTAATCTGTCAACATACATTTTACTGTTTCAAATGACTATGAGTTATTTCCCCTGCTGAGGAACAAACGATGGTGCCAGCGAATCGCGCTTTAACATCATATTATCCATTCACTTCTGGTATTGCTAACTTGACATCGCAGCCTGTTCATTATTAAAATAAAACACATAAAAAGTTATTCTGCTTAATTTAATTTGTCTGTAGTACAATATAATGGCTCAGCCGTCAGTCACCACCTCTACTTACTGTTATTCCAAACTCAATTCCATTGCTTTGAAGATGGTGATTCATCCTATACATGTAGATTTTGACTCTACTAAATAACTAAGCCTTCTTTACATTAATATAGTAGGCATCCAAATGTTATATTGCAAATATGGAAACTTTGGATCGATGGAGAGATGCGTGCATTTTCAGTTTCGATTCAAATAAGTTTGTTTAGGCTTGGCGATTAAAATAGGCAAAATGTTGTTTGCAATAAAGGGCACGTAGGCTACTGTGTATATTTTTATTACACGTGTATTACACGTATATTTTCATTACTTATCTTACATTTTTCATTTTCAGGTGAACTAACCCTTTAATAAACTTGATATTAACTTAACCTTTTTCACACTCTCAGTATAATTTCTTCATACCATGTCGAACAGTGAATATACATGCATCACAGTACGTATATATATATATATATATATATAGATAGATAGATAGATAGATAGATAGATAGATAGATAGATA